GCAGCCCAATGCACAATAGCTAAACTGTGGAAACAGCCTTGATTCCCATGAACAGATGAGTGGCTAAAGAAAATGTGATAGACATACACAGAGAAATATTATTCAGCTGTAAAGAGGAATGAAATCATGTAATTTGCAGGAAAATGGATGGAACTCCAGATCAACAAGCTAAGCGAGACAATTCAGACTCAGAAAATTAAATATCATGTTTTCTCTTATATGAGAAACCTAAAGTACAAGTAAATAAATGACCAAAATAAAGGACAGGTGATAGAAAATGGAAGGTAGACTCTTGGAAATGGGGAAGGGAATTAGGGGAGGCAGAGGAAAAAGAGGGGGGTAAAGAGACTGTAAATGATCAAGATATATTATATGCATGTGGCAGTTCCTCAAAATGAACATCATTATTCTGTACTACAAAGATGCATTCATTAAAGAAGTACAGTACCCAAGGTCACACTCACCTGACCCACCCTCTTCAATTTAAGCCCCACCTTCTAAGTTTCCATTACCTCCCCATAATGTTATTAAATTCTGACCTCATCAACAGGTTAATCCATGGATGAAGTAGAAGCCCTCATGACTCAGTCAGCTTCTGAAGGCCCCTATCTCTGCACACATGAGAACTCTGGGGGTGTTTTAGGTCGAACCCTAATGGGCATCAACAACCAAGAGAAGATATAACATAATAATGACAAGTGAGGGCCTGCCTGGTTTTCTACCCTCGAGCTATCATTATTGTCTAGTGGCTTTATCTGGGGCAAGTTACTGCCTACAGCCCTCAGTTTTTTCCTCTATAACATAGGGTACCTGCTTCATAGGACTGTTGTAAGAACTGAGTGAATTTAATAAAAATTGTCCAGAACAGCACATAGTAAGCACTCAATAAATGTTATCTATTCATAGTACCATTATGATTATCTATGAAATTAGTATGACATAAAGAATGGTATTTTGGAAAAGAATTTTGGGAAAAAGACATGCTTATTGCTGATAAGACTATATATTGGTATAGCTTCTCAGAGAGAACTCTGGTAGGGATTCAAACACTTTTGTGTGTATGTATCCTTCAAACAAGTAATTTTCAGTCCCTAAGAATTTATCCTAAAGAAACAATGAGACACGCACATTTTACCCACCAGTGGACTTTCCAAACACTTTAAGATAACACTCAAAAGTGGAAATAAATGAAACATCTAAGGATAGGAGGGTAGTTAAATGAGTTATTGTGCATCAGATCATGGAGAAAACAGAACAGCTAGGTCTGGTTCACCTCAAATACCTGTCACCCCATGGGTTCAGCTTGATGCCCGGTTGTTCTGAGATTGTGCCTGTGTGCACAGTGTCCCCTCCCCAGCCACCCAAAGCTGAGGCTGGCACAGCAGGCAGCTCTTTCTTGGGTGCTAACATGGCCATAATGTGGTCATATTGGCCTCTCCTTGTCCAGAGCCTACCCACAACCAGTCACCACTCACAAGTCTGACTTCTATGGTGATGCCACACTCACATGACAGCACAGCTTAGGAATGGCTTCACCATGTCCTCACCCCTCGGCGGAGCTCTCCTGTCTCCCCTGTTGGAGCACAGAACATTTGTGGAACATATGGTTATGTCCCTTTCCACTATGGGGGCCCTCTCCATTTTAAATTGTTTTCTGGGTGCTTACCTTCTCTTGCCTAGAGACCAATGGTTGACACCTGATCTGTAGTTTGTGTTAGTCAGCTTTCTGTTATCCTAACAAATACTCGAGATGATCAACTTAAAAACAGAAAAAGTTTATTTTGCCTCCCAGTTTTAGAAGTGCGGTTATAGGCTAAGAAGACAAAATACTTTTAGGCCACTGGTATATGTGGAGGTAACACATCATGCTGGAAGCACATGGAAGAGCAAAGCCACTCATTTCATGGCTAGGACACACAGAGAGAAGGGGCCAGAGTTGCACAGTCCCCTTTGTTTGTTTTGATTTTTTTTTTGGTACCAGGGATCGAACTTGGGTCCTTGTGCTTGTGCACCAGGCGGTGAAACCACTGAGCTAAATCCCTGACCCATCTCCTTTGTTTTTTTGTTTTTTTCCATTAACTTTATTGGTACATTTTAGGTATACAATACCTAAGTTAGTTACATTTATCATTGGGATCTTGTACCTGTACATGATGTATCTTGGTTCTTATTTTTTCCCCATTCACCTGCCCTCCCTTCACCCCCTCCACCCTTCCCTATTTACATACATTTCGTTTCCATTTTTTTTCTCATAATTTTTCCTTTCCCTTCTTCCCTTTCCCCTTCCCCTCCCACCACCCCTACACCTTTGGACCTTTTCCTATTTCAAATTATCGCATTATCATTATTCATTTTAATCATTTTAATCCTTATTTACACTTTCAGTTTCTCACACTAGAGAAACTATTTGGGATTTACAATGTGTGTCCTATTTATTTCACTTAAGAGTATGGCCTCAATATGCATCCATTTAGCTATAAATGTCTTTAGTTTCTCGTTCTTTATGGCTAAGTAGTGCTCCATTTTATAAAAAAAACAACAACACATCTTCTTTATCCAGTTTCCAGTTGATGGGCACTTGAGCTGTTTCCAAACCTTAGCTATTACAAACTGTGCCGCAATAAACATGGGCGCACATATATCACTGTGGTATGATTCTTTTAATTCTTTGGGGAAGATCCCCAGCAGGGGAATAGCTGGGTCGAATGGGACCTCTAGCCCTAGTTCTTTGAGGTATCTCCATACTGATTTCCACAGTGGTTGCACCAGTCTACACTCCCACCAGCAGTGGAGCAGGGTTCCTTTCTCCCCACAGCCCCGCCAGCATTTGTTATTGGTTGATTTCTTGATAGCAGCCATTCTTTCTGGGGTGAGGTGGAATCTCAGTGTTGTTTTCATCTGCATCTCTCGAATGACCAGTGATGTTGAACATTTTTTCATATGTTTATTTGCTGCTTGTACTTCTTTGTCTGAGAAATGTCTGTTCATTTCAGATGCCCATTTTTGAATTTGGTCTTTATATTTGGGGGATCTAATTTTTTTGAGTTTTTTATATATTCTAGATAGTAGACCCTTGTCTGAGGGGCAGCTGGTAACAATTTTTTCCCACATTGTAGGTTGTCTCTTAGCTCTGTTGGTGGTTTCTCTTGGAGTGCAGAAGCTTTTTAATAAGATGAGATCCCAGTTGTTGATTGTTTGTGCTAGTTTCTGAGCTACTGAGGATTTGTTGATAAAGTTTTTTTCCTATGCCAATGTCTTCAAGAGTTCTACCTAACTTATCTTCGAGCCAGTTTAGTGTTTCTGTTTTAATATTTAGATCTTTAATCCACTTCGATTTTAGTTTAATGCATGGTGAAAGATAGGGATCTAGTTTTTTAATCATTGGCAGATTAAAATCCAGTTTTTCCAACACCATTTATTAAAGAGGCTATCTTACCTCCAGTGAGGATAGTTGGCTCCTTTGTCAAAGATGAAGTAGCTGAGTATGTCTGGAGTTGTTTCTGTATCTTCTAGTCTATTCCACTGATCCTCGGGTCTGTTTCTTTGCCAGTACCATGCTGTTTTGGTTTTTTTGGTACTGGGGATTGAACTGGGGTCCTTGCGCTTGCACAGCAGGTGGTGAAACCACTGAGCTAAATCCCTGGCCCCTCCAGGCTGTTTTTCTTTTCCCCCTCCATGCTGTTTTTATCACAATGGCTTTGTAGTATAGTTTCAAGTTGGGGATTGTGATACTCCCTGGCATGTCTCTGTTGCCTAGAATTGCTTTTGCTATTCTAGGTCTCTTCTGGTTCCAAATGAATTTTTGGATTGTGTTCTCTAGCTCTGCACAGTCCCCTTTGAGAGCATGGCCCCCAGTTACCTAAAACCTCCCACCAGGCCTGACCTCTTTTTTTTGTTTTTTGGTACCAGGGATTGAACTCAGAACCTTGTGCTTTCAAGGCAGGTGGCGGCACCACTGAGCTAAATCCCCAGCCCCATCTGACCTGTTTTTAAGGTTCCACCAAGCCTTTAACACATGGGCATTTGGGGGACACTCCAGATCCAAACTACTGCAGAGCTGGTATCAGTATGTGCAAGTCGTAGATGTTCAAGTCACGTGGCACTGACAACAATCTACCCCACAGCATTCCTTTCCAGTTCTATGTTCTCGCATGTCACTTTCTGTGCCAGTTTTCTGCCCCTTGGATAGGTGGCATCCCAAAACCCCTGGGGAGAGAATAACTACCCTCACAGAGGGGAGAGCTGGTGTCAGCCAACAATTCTGGCAGGGAAGAGGGCTCAATGATGAACCCCAGGGAGGAGTGTCTGGCTTTGCCTATAGAAGGCTTTGAGAGCTGCCCACTGCCACTGCCAAGGATTCTCCTTTGTAATCCCAGATGCCTAAGCAAGACCCTGTGTCCTGAAAGACAGTGGTACAGTGGCCTTGACTTTGCAGTTGTTGTTCCTGAGAGGGCTTCTTCCCACTCTATTACAGCCATGAGCCCAGGTGCATTTCAGAGCCATATGCTCTGCCTGGCCTCCCACTAGCCTCTAAGTGGCAGCTCGAGAAATGGGAGCTTCATCTTGATCCAGCTCTCCTAGTGTCAAAGGACCTGTATTCAGCAGTGAACATGCCTGGTGGCCGGCACCTTTCGTCACCTTCCTTCAAGGAAGGTGTGACACACACAGGTGTGGTTGAGTGCCTTGCCCCAGCAGTACCCCTGACAAAATATGCAATGTTGTAAGCCTTAAAGTCACAGCACCAGTGACTGATCTCATTGTTCAACTCTCCTTCCTGCTCATTGGCAGGACAATGTAATTAAACAGAGCTGAGACGAAGAAGCATCTATTTTCTGGAAATCATATACATCATGTTCTGCATCACTCCTAATCCTTGGGCATGCTCAGAACACTGGAACATTTATAAATGTCTCCCTGCTGAAGGTGGCTGGGTGCTCATGAGATATACTGCACCTGGCTCAGCTGCTCTTGGAATAGGAAGAGGGTTTGCGTATGCTCACCTTCACCCTGTCCATGCAGGCCTCCATCTTCAGCTGCTCCACAGCCTTCCGGGCCTGGGAGATGCTAGTGGTACTGTTATTGGACATGCTCTCTTTCATTCTACGGCCCCTGCAAGCAGCCACAGACAAAGGGTTGGAAGTGCAGCTCTCGACAGCAAGGATAAGACAGACCCCATCCCACCCTGCCTACCTCCCACCATCTACAGCTTCTCTGTGCAAGCCAGATTTGCTGTTCTAGAAGGGAAGGAAATTCTCCATGACCTCACACATTCTGCTGCCATGTGACTAAGACAAGACACTGTAATGCTACTTGTGCCCCAAGAGAGCATAAGCCCTGGATCACAGTTACCCCATCCAATGAGAAACTGCTTGGAGGAGGCCTAATGATCAAAGTGTGAGTGTCAAGGACGGGCCACTGTAAAGAGTGACATGAGTGACAATGGCTCCCAAGACACAGAGTGAAGCAGGAGGCCAAGGCCAGGACCCTGCTGTGCAGGCCACTCTCTTGGTGGGACTTTTAATGGATGAACAAACTCCTGGCCCAATGAGAGTTTCCTTTGCTCATGGGCGATTTTTAAAAAATAAGGCTGTCCTGTTATAAGACAGGTCAGAGCTGGCCAGTGTGTGTCCATCTCATTGGGAACTTGTGCCCAGCAACAAGAAGCTCAAGCAGCTGGAGGCTCTGAAATTTGGGAGCATCTGTAACTCCACCACACAGGGCAGGAATAGGACTTCACCCACATACTTGTTCCTTCTGTTCCTTCTATTCCCCAAAACCAACTCAGCCTGGAGTGATCCTGAACCGTGCCTGATCTGGGAGAGAGATGGGAGGGGTTGCCCCACTGTGCTGGGAAATCACTCAGGGACAGCTAGCACGGGAAGAAAATGGCTTTTGCCAAGCAGAGCTACGGACAATTAAGCTTTTTGTTTGGTTTTTGTTGTACTGGGGATTGAACCCATGGCCTTCACACTAAGCTACATTCTTAATCCTTTTTAGTTTTTATTTGAGACAGAGTCTTGCTAAATCACTGAGTTTCTCAGGCTGGGCTCTAACTTGCGATTCTCCTGCCTCAGCCTCTCAGACAGACCTTGTGGGGAAGCTTCAGAGCAATGCTTCCCCACTGTAGCCAGGGGCCTTTCAGGCTTCCCTTGAACAACACCCCTGCCTCTGCTGCTACCCACATGCTGGACTATGTGTGGACTGTGTGTGACCTCATGTATGTCTCTGTCCACACACCTGTGTGTGCTATACATCTCACCTCGGCCCAAAGAAAGAAAACAGTCTGGGCAAAGTAGAACTGCAACAAAGCTAAACATGCTTGCCAGCTCCTGTGGACACTGACTCCATGGCTGATTTTCAAGATGAGGCAAAAGGAAAAAAGCCACAAGCCAGGGTCCTCCCCTGGTCCCAAGTGGTTAAAAATGTCTTCCTTCTGGGGCACACGGGAGACACTTACACAGACAGGTGGCCCAGGGGGCTGTACCAGTGGCTTCCAACTCAGCAAGTATGGAGTTAGGGTGGGCCAGGGCAAGGTGGTTCTACTCTCAGTGCTGTGGTTCAGACCTGACTCAGGACAGGCATTTAGAACTTCTGAAAAGTGTATGCCATTGTACCTCATTACACTCAGGTGTCCTAATGGCCCTATGTCAGCAATGGAAGTTGGTGAGGGATAGGGCAGTGACCACCGCCAGGAGTAGGGTACAGAGTGGGATCTTGATGGCCAAGCCCCACCCAGACCCCATACTCCTGCTCTCCAGAGGAAACCATTCCTGAGGAGGAAAGTCATTCCCCTTACCTGCTGAGAGGTGCCACGGTGACAGGCCCAGATAAGGGACACAGGCTGGTGGTGGCAGTAGTCAGTTGTCAGATGAGAGACTGATTCGGGGCTCACCTGTAAGTACAACCAGAGATGTAGCTGTCCTGTCCCCAGCTGCTCCCACACTGCCCCTCCCCATCTCAGCAGCAGGACATCAGTTCTCAGGATGGGGGGAGATGGCAAACTAAAGGCAGAAAGAGGACCTCTGAGGCGACACAGGGAAGACTGGGGACCCAGGCTCGAGTTCAAGGCCTCCGTGGGCCTCACCTGAAGGCCTCCCTGCTGACCTTCACGCCAGGTGCTCAGTCCTCAATCTCACAGCTCTAGCTCCAGCTAATGCCTGCCAAATGGATAGAGTTCACGTGGTTTCTTCCTTCTATAAAAATATATGTCCACTGAAGATAGAGAAGATCACAATAACAGTAACAAAAATAAAGACCAACTGCAATGCCTTTTCCTAGGTAACCATGCTTAGCACATTGATGCACATAGCCTACATGCGTCAGGAACAACTAGATTTCAAGGAAGGTACATGTCTAGGTCAGATGACTACAGAGTTCACTCACAGAGGGACAAAGAGCCTTGCCCGGTGTGGATAGCATGGCTGGCACCAAGATGATGCTGTCCCCAAGAGTTCTGAGTTCCCTCCTCAACCACGGATCCTAGTGAATCTACAGCAAAATCAAGCTCAATAGGAATGGGCTGCCAGTCCCGTTTGTTCTGCTAGGTAGAGTGGAATCCAAATTCATTTTAATGTGAATATTGGGGAAGATGGTTCAGAATTGTGCTTAATGTGTTTTCTCAGCCTTTGCTATGGTCTGAATGTTTGTGTTCCCCACATCTCCTATGATGAAATCCTCACCCCCAAGGTGATGGTATTAGGAGGTGGGCCTTTGGGAGAGGACAAGGTCACAAGTAAGGAAACCTCAGGATGGGATTCATGTCTCATAGAAGAGGCCTGAGAGAGGCTCTGTCCCTTCCACCAGGCGAGGACTCAACCCCCAGCTATGAACCAGAGAGTAGGTCTTCAACAGACACTAAACCCACTAGGTCTTGTCTTGGACTTTCTAGCCTCCAGAATGGAAAGAAGGAAATTTCTGTGGTATATGAGCTCCCTGATCTATGGCATAGACTAAGGTAGCCCCTCCAACGTTTCTACAAACACCACCTGTCTACTGCTACAAATGTGACTGCTCCTTTCTGTCAGAGTACAGTAGTCTCCCCCTTATCTGTGGTTCTACATTCTGCAGTTTTGGTTGCCCAGGGTCAACTATGGTCTGAAAATATTAATGAGAAAATTCCAGACACAATTAATATTTTAAGCTGAGCACTGTTCTGAGATCGTGATGAAATCTGTACCATCCCCCTCTGTCCTGCCCAGGATATAAATCATCCTTTCTTCCTGAATATCCATGCTATATATGCTGCCCTCCATTAGTCACTTAGTAGCTGACTAGATTATAAAAACGACTACAGTGATATCGCAGGCTTATGTTCACATAACCCTTATTTTATCTAAAAATGGAAAAAGAATGAAAAGTGAAAAGTAGTGATGATGGCTGTTCTATTTTGTTATTAGTCATTGTCAGCCTCATACTGTGCCTAATTTGTAAATTAAACTTTACTATAAATAGGTACATACAGAAAAAAACATACTCTATATAGGGCTTAGTATTGTCCATGTCTCAGTCATCCACAGGGTGTTTTGCCTGACTGCTCTGGCTGATGTCTCAAGTACTATATTGAACAAAGTGGTAACAGTGGACAGTGGACATCCTCATCCTGTTCCTGATATAGAGGAAAAGCTATCAGCTTTTCTCCATTTAGTATGATGTTGGAAGTAGGTTTGTCATAAATGGCTTTTATCAGATTGAAATAAGGTCCTTTTATACTCCCTTTCTTTTTTTTTTGGTACCGGGAATCAAACTCAGGACCTTGTGCTTGCGAGGCAGGCGGCGAAACCTCTGAGCTAAATCCCCGGCCCTAACCTCCTTTTCTCAAAGTTTTTTTTTTTTTTTTTATCATGAATGGATGTTGAATTTTGTCAAAGGCTTTTTTGGGTCTATTGAGATGATCACATGATTTTTGTCCTTGTTTCTGTTTATGGGATGTATTACATTTATTGATTTGCATATGTTGAACCATCCTCCTGCAAAGGATTTTAGACAACTTCTTTGTATCATTGGTATTTCTCCAAAATAAGAGAAGTAATTGGTACTGATGGGATTCAGGCCCTGACAGACTCTCTTGATCTTGTTGCTGGAGAAAGCAGCTTTTTCAATGGCACTAAATTTTGCTATGATGTTTTCAAAAGCTGCTTTCTTCCCTAAAGAGAAGAAAATATGGTCATTTCTAAATAAGATAATTATTTTGAGGTCATAAAAGATCTGCTCCCTGGCCAATAGATGTCTGGGAGTCCTTTGAGGGTAGAGGCTGTTTTATTGGCTTTTGTATCCCTGGTGCCAGACAGGGCAGGTAGATCATGGGTAGTTCCTATAAGTAATACTTGTGTGTGTGTGACAACACATTCAGACTTCAACAGTGACTTTCATTCCACATGGCTGCTGTTATTTCCATCTTTAGTAACATTTTTCCCCTTAAATATCTAGTAAAATTCACCAACAAAGCTACCTTGGACTAGACTTTTCTTTGTGGAAAGATTTTAAACTTAAAAATTCACTTTTGTTAGTAGAAATAGAACTATTCAGGTTCTATTTCTTCTTGTATGAGTTTTGATTGTGTCTTCTATGGGATTTTTTCTTTAGTTACTGAACTTATGAGCAGATGGTCCTTTGTCATAGTCTACTTTTTATGCATGTAGGACCTGTAGTGGTATCTCCTCTTTCATTCTTGACATTTATAATATGGGTCTTCTCTTTTCTTGGTCAGTTTGGCTAGAGTTCTAAGTTTACGGGACTTTTCAAAGAATTCCTTTTAGGTGTCATTTTTTCTATTGCTTTTCTATCCTTAAAAAAAAAAGAGAAAAATTAAGACAGGGTCTTGCTATGTAGTTCAGGCGGGTGTTGTATTCACTATCTAGCCCAGGCTGGTCTTGAACTCATGGTGATTCTCATGCCTCAGCCTCCAGAGTGCTGCGATTACAGGCATGTGCCACCATGCCCAGCTCATTTTGCTGATTTCTGTTCTTTAGTATTTCTTCTCTGCTTGCTTTGGGTTTGATTTTCTCTCTCTCCCTGAGTCTCATTCTTTTGGTTTATTAAGGTAGAAGCTAAAATCATTGATTTGAGAGCTTTCTTTTCTTTCCTTTTTTTTTTTTTGGTGCCAGGGATCGAACTTGGGTCCTTGTGCTTGTGCAGCAGGCGGCGAAACCACTGAGCTAAATCCCTGGCCCAAGAGCTTTCTTTTCTAACATAAGTATTTATTGGTGTAAGTTTCCTTACAAGGACTACTTTTGCTGGATCACATGTTTTTATACCAATTTGAAATATTTCTTGTTTTCCTTTGTGATTTTCTGTATGATACATGGGATGTTTAGGACTTTACTATTACATAAAGTTAGGTTAGATCCTGACTTCAGTTTGGTTTTTAAAGTTTTTGCAATTCCATGCATATATCACCCAGGGCTTTTTCTGAGCTTTGAGTGCCTGTATAAAATTTTCTTTCAATTTTTTTCTTTTTCTGTTCTGCTTTGGATCTGTCCTATGTATGTGCATCTCAGGGGTGTTGTTGGGAGATTTGTTGGTTCATATAAAGAATTAGAGGATCCACTTCCTCATTCTCTCTTCTCCAGTATTTTTCATACTTTTCAGTTCACGAGGGCCCCTTCTCCTACTTCTGTGACCCAAAAGACAGGGTTCCTCCCCAAGATGTAGCTCATAGTGCTGCTGCCACTGTGTGATTCTGCAACTGGGGCCTGCTCCTGGGGCAAATCAGTGAAAGAAAAAAGAAAAAGGGGAAAAGAACCACAAAGATCTTTCCCCAGGTTCCTTGGCAGACATGTGGGGTTACTCCTAGAGCATGAGCTGTCTACACTAATTAATTATCTGCACATCTGCTGCTGGTCCCATTTGGGTGCAAAACCACAGAGTAAGGAGAAAGAAAGTAGGAAGTAGATTTATCATTTAGGTTGCTTCTCACATTTTGCCTCTCTTCCACAATCCAGAGAGTCTGGTTTACTTTTTAGAGTTCCCAGATACTTTTTATATTTCTTGAAGTATCAGCTGTGATCAGCAGCAGTGATGGGCTGTTGTGTTTTCTCCATCTTGGACGTTCTGTATGTGTCCTCTTTGGCAAGGATGCCCTTCTTTTCTTGTTTGATGGGCGCCCATTCAACCCTCTTTACTTGGTCAGCTGTCCTGACCTCCAGAAGGTATTTCTTGGTGCCCCCATGCTTTAATAAGTCCAGGTTAGGGGAGTCCCTTCCACACACGTTCCAGTACAGCCTTCCCTCTTCCCTCCCTCCCTGTCACCAACAGCCAATAGCCTGGTGAGGAGAAAGACCTCATTCTCCCTGCCTCTCAGTGTATCCCTGGCTTATAAAAAGGCTGATGGAGGAATGGGGTGCTTGTTTCTGTTATATATTTGAACCTGCATTAATAGAATGGACATCTGAAACTGGTGATCACAAACTTGCAAGGGCTCCACAATTTCTAAATGCCAAAGGAGGGAGTTGGAGGGTCACTGAGTGTTTGTCTGGTCAGAGAGAGCTGGTTCAAGCTTGAAGGCCTTGGTCACAGCTGTTCTCTGAAAGGTAGTCTGGTACTTCAGCCTATCTCAAATTCTACCTCACATGATGTTTTTTCCACAGAAACGCTATTTTTACAAAGTGGGAGAAGTAGCTGTTAGAGAAACATGATAGTTCGAGTTTCCCACGCAATTTTAATTGAAGAAAAGACAAATGCTGTCATATTCCAGCTCCTAGCATTATTCAAGAAGAATGAATTTTCTATAAACATTATTAGGGGAAATCATTAATTTTCACCTTCCTAGAGAAGCAAAGTTTTTAAAAAGTAAAATGACTTTGTCCTAAGGTATGAGAGTTTCACTTCACATTTTGTGTGTGGATTTATTTCCCATTTCATTTGCTTCCTGTAAGACTTGGCAGGAGACTACAG